ACGATGACAGAAGTCATCATGAGGTTATGAGTGCCCAAGCGGACCAAAGTGTGCAACAGACTCCGAATGGTGTGGTCCGAGGAGCTGGAGATATAAGTGACTCGGGTCACCAAGAACCGCAACCAAGCGGCTCACTTTACGATCCTGATCTTCAGGGTGCTACTGCAGCAGAGGGGACTGAAGGGATAGCAGCGACACGGGCGGGATCAGTTCCTGCACAACCGCTCCCTGTTGTCACAGAGGGCCACGACTGTCTGCCTCCGGGGAATTCACCGATGGCAACTTCACTGGAGCAGGTGGAGATCGCGCAAGCTCCAACGATTCCAGCTGGAGGCCAAAGTGTGGAACCTGGAATGATGGTGGATGGCAGTGGTTCAATTGCTGCACAGGAATTCCTGACTCCGAGATCAAGGGTGTCGGGGACTGGCCAGAATAACTGGTTGGGAACAAACATGATGAATGGGCTGCCAGGCTGGATGACGAGACTAGGATCGTATCTGGCGCCGGCGGATCCAATGATACCAAGTCCTCTTGCGGGGACCCCTCCTGGTGGACCTACGTTTGTGCTGAGGTCACCAGTGAGGACAAGGCCAGCGGCGAGACCACCGACTCCACCGTCGTCTTCTATACCAGCAGAGGCGATACAGCAGGAGGTCCAGAGACAGCTGGCGGGCATCCGTTCCTTGCTGCACGAGTCAGAGGTGAGGAACAGGGTGTTGCAGCGAGAACTTGAGGAGCTGAGAGAAGTACACCTGGAAGCGGGAGCGAGAATGGGTGGATATAGTCTAGAGCACGGGTCACTCTTCGGGAGTTTGCTCTCGGCACCTTCAGGTCCAGCCCTACAGCAAGCTTCAGGATTACCTTCAGGTCCAGCTCTACAGCAAGTTTCGGGATTACCTTCAGGTCCAGCCCTACAGCAAGCTTCAGGATTACCTTCAGGTCCAGCTCTACAGCAAGTTTCGGGATTACCTTCAGGTCCAGCGCTACAGCAAGCTTCGGGACTACCTTCAGGTCCAGCTCTACAGCAAGCTTCGGGACTACCTCCAGGTCCAGCGCTACACCAAGCTTCAGGATTACCTTCAGGTCCAGCTCTACAGCAAGCTTCAGGATTACCTTCAGGTCCAACGCTACAGCAAGCTTCAGGATTACCACTAGGTCCAGGACTACAGCTAGATTCAGGAGTATTTCAGATCCCTACACTACTACCTCAAGGCTCGGGAGTACCCCCAAGAGAAGAACATCAACAGGGAACCGCTCCTGGGTCACTATGGCAAGAAGGGATAAGGCGTTTGAGCAGCAGCTTACCGACGCGAGAACCAGAACAGCCAGAACCACCAAGCTTATTAAGGACAGTCTTTCCGCGAGCGAGATCAACGTCGCCTCCTCCTCAGGGGTCTACTTCACAGCAGCAAGCGGGGTCACCTATGATGGAGGCTCTGGCCAGAGGAGTTCAACAGCTACAGGAGCTTCAGGCGCAGGCTCTATCAAAGGGAGCCAATCATTCGGCCCCCGACTCTCTGAAGGCGGGTACGAATGCCCTAACGCCGCTTCCTGATCACAGAGGAGGAGCGGAGGCGTCGCTGAAGTTCCAAGACTGGGTGGAGATTACATCCACGGCTATGACTGACGTCAGTGAAAAATCGGGACAATGGTGGAAGGCGGTGATGCTAGTGGCAGAGGCCGCGTACTCACGGTGGCTGAGCGCCACCCACCTGGAGCGGCTGTCAGTTCAGCCCGATGGGATGGGTCCACTATGTGAGGACCCCTGGGGCAGAATCAATGCAAGGGCATGTAGCCTACTGCTCAATGCGATGACTACAGAACTCCGGGCCGACATGATTGCGCAGCGCATCACCCAGTATGCCCCGGCACTGATGTTCAGGTTGTTTACATGGTTCCAGCCGGGCGGCACTGCAGAAAGGCAAGAAGTTCTTCGCCGTCTTCAAAGTCCAGCCGATGGAGTGTCAACGGAGTCAGCGGAGGCAGTCCTCACTCACTTGCGTGCTTGGCCACGCTGGTTGGCCAGGTGCCAATCAATGAGAATGCTGCCCCCAGACCCTTCGGTGATGGCAAAAGGGTTACAGATGTTGACTTCGAGGCAAATCACGGGCTCAGCGGATGCTTCCTTTAGAACTTCAATGTTGCGAAGCACGTTGCGGTTGGATTGCCAACCAACCCTGGACCAGGTGAAGGGCTATCATCGTCACCTACAAGCGGAACTTGAGGGCATCCTGGGAGCGCAGCAATCGGCAGGACCACCTGGAGCGGCAGCGGTTCGGGCGGTGGATGCTTCCTCGTCAGGACAGTCCCCGAAGGGCAACAAGATGAAGGATAAGAGCCAGGAGCCTTGCCGCTATTTCAACAAGCCCAGTGGATGCAAGAGGGGGGACAAGTGCGTGTACTCACACAGTATGTCTGGAATGGAAAAGGAGGTCCGAGCGCGAAAGTGTCTCAAATGCGGAAGCGAGTCACACCGAGCTCGGGAATGCCCTATCGGGAAACCGTCGACTCGACCGACCCCCTCGACTACATCGCCAAAGCAGGGAGACCGAGGAGTGGTCTCTAGCAGTACACCGGCTGTGGCGGCCATTGGAGCAGAGCCTCAAGGAGGCCCTTCCGGCTCAGGTGCGTCGCCTACGGTACAAGGCGTTCCGTGGACCCTAGAGTCATTGGTGCAGGTGGCGCAGCAGGTGATCCAGAACCAGACCCCTTCGGACAGAGAAAGCTCACCCGAGAAAACGAGAGCGGAGCTGAAGGTGCTGAGCGTGAAGGCTGGGAGAGTTGGTTCGGACCCTTGGCTATTCGTTGGAATGGTCGCAAAAGGGATGTTTCCTTATGGATGCAGAAGGGAACTCCCAGTCCTTGGGTGTTTCTGCGGGTTGTCCACATTTACAAGAGGCGGAGGCCCTGTCGCTGATAGCTCGTCTTGAGGACAGAAAAAGGGAACAGCTGGAGAATGTTACGGTGATGTCCCGGGATTACCTCGAGGCAGCTAAGATGACGTTTGAGGCCCCGTGGAAGGACCAGCTAATGGAATATGTGACCAAGGGTACTCAGGAGGCAGGCCTTCGTGCTGTGCGTGATGTTCCTTTTCTTGCAGATCTCCCAGGTGCATGCGTGGATGGCATGGTTCAGAGTGGAGTGATGGAGAGCGGATGGCAGGTCTTGAAGGAGATCGAGTTTCTGACGAGGTCCCAACGGAGGCGATTGTGGAGCGCAAGAAGGATGATAATCCACCGGTTTGCGGGCGACCCAGGCCACTACGAGGTGTTTCAGCTTGATGAAGGGGACACTGTGGTTTTGGAGTTAGACATCCAACGGTGCAAGGCCCACGACATACTTCGGACTTCTACGTGGCGGTTGTTAATGTGGGCTGCGATGTCGGGGAAGGTCGATGCAATCATGGCGGGACCCCCTGGGCGTGGAGGATTCTACCAGGGCACAGGAGGACGTTGTGATGTCAAGGGCATGACATTGTTGGCGCGAACCTTATGGTTATACGGAGTGGCGGAGGTGGGAAGATCAGTCAACGCGAAGGGCGCCGACCGAGGGCGACCTGTTGGACTGATCCTTGAACATCCTTCCCAGGAGGAGCAAGCCGAAGATGTGTCAGGCGCTGACTCTCACCTCGGTTCTTTGTGGAGGTTGCCGTTGTGGAGGAGCTTTGCAGAAGAGTATGGGATGACGACTGTAAGCTTTGACCAGCGTGCTATGGGAGCCCCACACAGTACAAGAACCACGCTGGGAACCAATGTTTACTACGTTCAGGGCCTACAAGGACTCAGTGATCCAGCAGGAGAAACCTCAACTACCACAACCCAGACTTCCTCTACCTGGGCGCCGGGGCTAGTCAAGGCACTTGTGCTTGCATTGCGGCTGTGGACAAGGCATCCCCAATGCGTACCTCAGCTGGCTGCCGTGTCTCCAGATCGATGGCGGCAACATGTGGAAGGAGGACACCTTGATTATCGAAAGGGACTGCTTGACGTGCGTTCTTGCCCGTGGAACAGGACGAAGACATGCGCGGGTCTCACACCCGGAACTCTTCTCGCTGACAGTTGACCTGGCAGGACCAGTTGCGGCTGGACTTGATGTCACAAGCAAGGGGACAATGGGAAGAAACCTGAAGTACCTGATGATCGCACGGTATAACTTGCCGGTTGAGTATGTAAAGGGGTACACCGCAAGAGAACCTCCTGGTGATCATGGGTTAAATGGCGAAATACCCGTGGAACAGGACGGCAGTGCTGACAAGGAACTCGGCGCAGAACCTTCTCAACTACCACCACACGAAGATGGGGAGAGTAAAAGGGATAGAGAAGTAAGTTTTTACGGCAGTGCTGACGAGGAACTCGCAGAACCTTCTCGACTACCACCACACGAAGATGGGGAGAGTAAAAGGGATAGAGAAGTATTTTTTTACGGCAGTGCTGACGAGGAACTCGCAGAACCTTCTCGACTACCACCACACGAAGATGGGGATCCGTTTATTTTAGAACCAGGTGAGCAGGGTCCTTTACACGATGAACCAGGTGAGCAGGGTCCTTTACTTGATGAACCAGGTGAGCAGGGTCAAGAGAGGGACCAGTCAAGCGAGGATGCGAATTTCATCGGTGGCACTCGGAAGCAGCAGGCCGACTATCAGGATTACGATGACTCAATGTACGAGCCTTCAGAGCCGGAGGAACCTCCTAAGGAGCTGCAGGAGGACACGACACAGAACCCAAGTGATCCAGACCCTCATCAAGATTGTGTGGCCCCAGCGTCTACCTATCTGCTGTTCGCCAAGGCGTTACCGAGCAATGGGTCGGCAGTGGTCAAGGCAGCACTGCAGGATGTTATTCTGTATTTGCAGGCGCACGGGCTACCTATCTACCGATTACATGCGGACAAGGGCGAGACTTACAACCACTCAGTTCGCACCTGGCTCAGAGATCAGGCGATACGAGCAACATGGTCCGAGCCCGGAATTCCCCAAGGGAATGGCCAGGCTGAAGGGGCAGTTCGTTGGATCAAGGACAAGGCCAGAACACTACTGCTGTCCTCGAGGTTACCAACTCGGCTCTGGCCAACGGCGGTGGAAGCTGCAGCAGCTATGCAACGAGCGCGAGTTCTGGGATGGAAGAGCAAACTGCTTGCTCCATTCGGAGCGGTTGTCCATGTGAAGCAGAAGGTGTTCGATTCATCAGGACCCCGACGAAGGGAAAGGGCCTTTGAGTCAAAATGGATTCGAGGACGCTACGTTGGACTGAGCAGTATCCTGGACAATGGCCACGTGGTGTACATCCCCGAAGAGCAGGGGGGAAGGAAAAGTTTATTCATACTTTTCATGTACGACCTCGGTTAATCGATCCAGGGCTACCGCAACAAGAGCTCATAGCTGACGACCCGCCGAAGCCCAGGAGAAGGATTGAAGGTAAGACTCCCATGGCACATGTGCAAATGAAGGAGTTGCAGTTATCCGAGGAGGAGCTCGGTGAGTACATTAGGGATCGCTCAAGAGCACTATTGGATGAGTGGAACCAGGAGGTGGCCATCAAGTTGATTGACGAGCTCGCGGAGTGCAAACTGTTCGATGAGGTCAAGTTTGGAGTTTTTCGTCATGGTGGAGTAGTGGGAAGAATGCGTGGATTCACCGAGTATCCGGAGTTGGCAAAGGTGCTGTCCAAGATGATCCTCTACGAGCAGCCGGAAGCGACCTTCACAGCGATAATGGTGGCACGGAATATGGAACGGGGTATGCATCAGGACCTCAACAATGACGAGGGAGGGGTGAACTACGTACTACCGGTGCGCCTACCAGAAAAGGGCGGGGAGCTTTGGGTGGAAGTCGGAAAAGGCGACAAGGTTCAGGAGGAGATCGTCGTCCGGCAAGATGATCAGGGACGACAACGTTATGGACAGCTATTCCCACTGAAGTGGGGAAGATGCAATGTGTTTTCTCCCAGGAGGAGACATGAAGTCTTACCCTGGAAGGGAACAAGGACAGTCGTTGTTGCCTATACTCCTCAAGCTCTTGGAAAGCTAACGGATGTGATGATCAATGAGTTGGAGGACTATGGCTACCCTACGCCAATCACGCAGATGCCTGAGTACTTCCTCACTGCCTCGGACCATGAAGTTAAGGCCTTGAGGGGCCCAAGCAGGGAGAATGGCCAACTTAGTGTATTATCAGATTCGAATCTCCCCAACTACGTGACGGCCGAGGAGATTGTGGACGAGGATGTCGACGAGTGGGAGATGTACTTGGAGGCAGACGATGGGATTGTGAAGATTGGTGAGGAAGAGGAGGAGCCACAGCGTGAGCAACAGCCTCGAGTTCGCAAGGTTGAAGTTGGATACACCAAGGGAATAGAGGGATTGCTTGAAAACCTCAAGGGCCCGCTAGAAGTGGTCTACAACGTTGATCCCAAGGAAGTTCTGGAGAACCTGTCAGCCTGGGAGGCAGCAATCGGGAAGGAAGTTGATGGTGTTGCGGTCGCAATCAAGCGACTACCACGGGGATCTCCAGAAAGACAAGGTTGGATACAGAGACCAGGAGCACAGCGGCTACCAGCTAAAATGGTGTTCACAGTGAAGCCAGGAGATGCTCCAGTGCCCTCAGAGCCCTCCACGTGGTATAAGCGCAAGGCGCGCTTAGTGGTTTGCGGCAACTTTGCAGCGTATGACGGTGCCGAGCTCTACACAGAAACAGCCCCATCGGAGGCTGTCCGCGTCGGCCTTATGTTGTCCAGGAAGAGAAAATGGAGAGTAGCTCTCCTCGACGTTGTGGCGGCTTTCCTACGCACCCCTCTCAATCCGGGTGAAGGAGATCCAATTGTGCTGGTGGCACCTCCTCGACTACTGGAGCGACTCCTACTTTCAGAAGAAGGAGAACTATGGCTACTGGTGCGTGCACTATATGGCCTACGCCAGGCCCCAGCTTTATGGGGTGCTCACCGGGACAGGGTGCTGGAGGAGATGACGCTACCCAGATCGATGCGACTACGTCGGGGGAGGACAGTGACTTCTTGGTGGGTTTTGCAAGGACCTACGGGTACGTTGGTGGCGCTCGTCATAATATACGTGGACGACTTCATGCTGCTTGGGGACGAGGAGACAATTCAAATGCTGGCCTCAGCTATTCAAGGGGTGTGGAAGACAACTGAGTTGGCATTTCTACGCCCGGGCCAACCGGTGAGGTTTCTGGGTATGGAGTTGGAAGTTGATGATGAAGAAACAACAGTCTTCATTAATCAGAGAGGCTATGTCGAAGAAGTTCTACGTGCTTATGGGTTTACGGAGACGCAGAAGGACAAGATCCCCCTTGGCAAGGACCAGGCGAACTTCGAGCCCATGGAGGAGGACATCCCGCCGGACCCGGCGGCTATCGCTGAATCTCAGCGAATAACAGGCGAGCTGATGTGGGTCAGCCAGCGCTCAAGGCCCGATTTGTCGTTCACCTGTGCTCTGATGGCATCAATTACCTTGAAGGCGCCCTACCGATGCGTGGAGATAGGAAAGAAGGCGCTACGTTACCTTCAAGGCACGAAGAACCTGAGGATGACGATCAAGAACAACGACTCCGGCCTCACTATGTATCCCGACGCAGCATTTGCAGCTACGGGTTCCAAGTCCCATACTGGCTGGGTTATAATGTGGTCCGGGTCTCCGATGGCATGGAGATCAGGTCGGCAGGGGACCATAGCCTTGTCTACAGCTGAAAGTGAGCTTAATGCGATCCTGGACGGATCAATAGGGATGATGGGGCTCGAAGCGATGCTGGCGGACCTACAGTTGGAGCCGTGCAACAAAGAGATCGCAAGCGACAGTACGAGTGCCCTAGCCATTGGGGCCGGGACGGGCTCTTGGAGAACCCGCCACCTCAGGCTGAAGTCAGCCTGGCTTCAAGAGATGCTAAGTCGCAACGAGCTTACGGCTCGGCACGAGCCAGGTGTTACCCAGCCAGCGGACCTTCTTACAAAGGCCCTGAGTGGACAGCGGATACGTGATCTACCACAACTATGGGGAATGCAGGACGGCGGCACGAGCGAGCCTCGACCTACCGCGATGTCATCTACATTGGCTACGAAGGTGTTGGTAGCAACAGTGTGCTGCATCTTGATGTTGGGTGTGGAGGCCAGGCCAATGTCCCAGTCACTACAGGTAGACTCAGGGTTGCTGGATCTCTTTCTTATGCTGCTGGTACTGCTTGGTGGTTTGGTGCTATGGGAGTTCACAAAATGGGCTGGGACGGAAGTTTATCGAGGACTTCTACCAACGGAGCGGAGGCTACGACGTCTACGGCGACTTCAAGAAGCTACTGCCCAGGCAATAGAAAGAGAGCTGGAGCGGATGGGCCATGAAACGACGTCTTCAACTACCCCCGTGTCTCAACCGTCTACATCGTCGAGTACCAGGAGACGGCCAGCACAACCCGATGCATCCCCAGTTGCTCAGCCTTCTACGGCCGCGAGTATGAGGAGACAGCCAGCACAGCACGATGTTTCCCCAGTTGCTCAGCCTTCTACTACTGTGAGTATGAGGAGAATGACTACCAACGAACCACTACAGCCGTTATTGGCTACGCCTACAAGATCCCAGAATGATGAGCTGCTCGAATGGCCGTCACCAGGGCTACCTGTACCCATAGGAGGCGAAGGACAGTTTGAGCGAGATCGTGTGTGTACAGATGTATTGCTCCTTATGACAAGTGAACACTTGAAAGAGGGACTACGCCACGAAGGAGCTCAAACTACGGGAGTGAAGGCAGACCTAGCAAGAAGGCTGGGTGGCTATCTTGTGTACTACATGGATCAAACCAATGGTCCAACTATGCGACAGTTAAGATATGTGCTGTGGCTGTGGAGACATGGGAATGTTGCTGGGCGATACCAGCTGAAGTGGAGCGATGTCAATGATAAGGGGCGGATTTCCAACTTCATCCATGTCTGGAAGGATAGGTAGCTATGGAGTGCACCTTCCACCTAGCGGTGGAGCTGAGGAGGAGAGTTAAAGCTACCTGGCCAGGACAGCAAACGTGGCTCCGCTTACCATGCAATGGCTCAGGAGAAGGCTACGAGATTCCTCCTTGGGTCATGTCACAGTACAGTTACAACTTTTCTACTAGCCGCTCGAACTGGCAACAGTCAGCAGACCTGTACAATAATGCTGCAGACAGTTCATGAGAGTTTTCGGCAAAGAACCAGTGACCTTTTGTTGTGCGTTTGTGTGTCGTAAAAGATCCGAATTCGATACAGCCCCGTGTGCGCCTCCCCATGGTTTGAAGATGAACTGCACAGGGGCCAACGATGACAGAAGTCATCATGAGGTTTAGGGTTCAGGGGAATGGGTGGAGCAAGCCCTTGGGGCTCAGTGTACTGCATAGCACTACCCTAAACCCTATATAAACCCTGAACCCGACTATGGACTACCCGGGGATACTAAGAATTTTGGGGATAAGTGGAGCTCTAATCTGTGCAGTCGAAGGAACGAGAGTCTTTGGGAGCAAGCTTATGGAATCGGTTCTGTGGGTGTTTAGGGTTTAAAATTTAGGGTTTAGGGTTTAGGGTTCGGTTCTATGGGTGTTTAGGGTTTAGGGCTGAGGGTTTAGGGTTTAGGGGGTGATGAGCTTGAGTAACGGGTGTTTCGAGTTGAGCCACCCCCAGCTCCAAGATCAGCAACAAGAAGCCGGGGCCCTTACGGTGCACCCACTTCGTGGCATCACTGCACTTCCAGTTCATGCAGCTCTTCCTCGGGATTGAGGGTTCATGGGTCGTTGATGTTTGGGGCTTGCAGGGTTGAGCGTGTGGCTTCTTGGGCCCCAACCATATGCACTGGTGGGAAGCATTATGCAATCATATCTGCTCTTAGCAGCCCCTCTAGCCTAAGATCGCCTCCCTCACCGGGCAAGTCCCGAACCTTTCAATGGAGTGTGGGCTTTGAGCATCGGCGGTCAGCTTCTACACTGAAGATAAAATTCCTTGACGAAGATCACCCAAAGGGTGCAACTTTGGGTGAGAGCTCCGTATAAAAAGGTCAGATGAGGTCCTTAAGCCTCGAATCCTACACCCTAAACTCTAAACCCTAAGCCTTCAAACCCCGAAGCCCTGAACCCTCAACCCCAAACAAAACTCATCTCCTGGAAGCCACAAGCAGGCTGCTGGGGTGGCTCTCCTAGCCTTCACTAGTGCATACAACTATCTGTTGGAATTCAGATATACCTTATCAGATATACCTTAACCTACCAAAACCCACTTTTGTAGGTTCTTATTATAAACCCGAATATGGGATTTATAGGGAACCTACAAAAAAGTAGGTTCTGGTGGGTTAAGGTAGTACTACTACCACATTTACTGCTCATTTTTC